CTTGGTCCTGTTCCATCCTCGTGGTCCTTGACGTGTTTGACCCAAATGTCAAGGCCACTATGTCAGTCCATCTCATTGAGGACTCCCTTGTTTTCACAGACCCTCTAATAAGGAGCTCTGGTGGTGTAGTGGTTAAGCCATTTGGCTACTAACCAAAAGTTTGGTGGTTCAAATCCACCAGCTGCTCTGCAGAGGAAAGACGAGACAGTCTGTTTCCGTAAAGATTTGCAGCCTTGGAAACCCAGTGGGGTTGCTCTGAGTCAGAACTGACTTGACAGCAGTGAGTTTGGTTTTCTCCTGCCCTCTAATTACCTAGTGTTGCCATAACATAAACATACCACAAATGGGTGGCTTTGTTGATGACATGTCTTTCCTGATGACATGTCCAAAGCAGGTGGGATGAAGTCTCGCATCCTTACTTCTAAGGAACGTTCTGTTTGTATTTCTCCTAAGACTGATTCGTCTGGGCTCTGGCAGCCCATGGAATATTCAGTGTCCTTCACCATTGATGCATTCACTTCGAATGCATCAGTTCATCCTTTGTCTTCCTTTAGAACTTTACAGAGGTCCTTCTGCGGCAGATTTGCCCAACACACAGAAGTCATTTCATTTCTTGACTGCTGCTTCCATGGGTGTTGATAATGGATCTGAATAGAATGAAATCCTCAGCAACTTCAACTTGAAACTCTTATGAATAACAGCAAAGAGGAGGAAGGCCCTGCCTTTTTCAGGCTCTGTTGCTGTGGTCTGGTCTTTGCTCCTCTGCAACCTTGGGCGGGTCTGGAGACATCCAGAAACTGTGGTTTCTTGCTCATGTGTTCCAGCAAGTGGCCAACACAGACTGGCAGGGCTTGGCGGGAACCGGGAAATGTTTGGAGAGCGGGAAGGGCTGCAGGATGCATTCTAAGTTCAGAGTTCTCTTTTCTTGAACTCTTTCCGGGCAGCACGCCATTTAGAAATGTTTGTTAAGTGTTAAATGCAGTTGATTTCCCTGTTTCTGGGAGTGGCACGTGCGGCCATGGTATTCCCTTTTGTGCTAACTTGTTTTTCCCTCTTTCTCTTTTTGCTTGGCAGTGAACGACCTTCAGGAAGAAGGCAAAAACGCCATCGACTCGCCACTGTCCCCTGCCTCAGTGGGCGTTCATCCTGAGGACACTCTTCTAGGTACTGCCTCTTCTTCCAGCTCCTTGCCACAGTTGGGTGAACCGTCTGCAGCGTTAGGTGGGCCGTGGTGAGGCTGGCAAGCAGGTCCTTTTGAGCAGATAGCATACTGGGTGGCATTTGAGAGCCCAGACACTCTGCTTAAGGTCCTGTTTAGAAAAGTCTGTAGGAAACAAGCGAGTTCTTGTTTGTAGCTTTCTGCCCCTATTTCTGGGTGAGCCAGAGCTCCTTTAAGGCCTGGATCCTGCTGGGGGTTAGAGAAGGACTGCCAAGTGGCTGAGACCCTCACCCCCACGCCCTTGGGGTCGCGTCACAGGCCAGTGCCAATGAGATGACAACCAGATACACTTCCCTTCAAGTGTGTTTTGGGATCTGGTCAATCTGGAAGGCTATTCTGGAACATTCCATGCATTTCCAAACCTTGGTTCAAAGGGAAGCCCCAGTTGACCCCTTTATTGTAGTTTCTACCCCAAGGCTCAGCCCACAAGAGGAATGACAGACACAGGCCCCCCTGGGCTGACCCCAAGCCAAGTGCTGGCCATTTTCCAAGGTTCCACTGGGACCATGGGAGTGTCTTTCTTTCCTCCTGGAATAGCATAGCTCTTGACTGTGGCTGTGATTGTCTTTAGGCCAACTGGAGTCATTTTCCAGGCAGCTGCTCCTGGGTGACCCCCTTTAGGGGGACCAGCACGTAGGTCTGGAGACTGATATTGTGTGGTTAGTGGACTTCAGAGCAGGGTGTCTCCACCTCAGCCCTGGTGACATTTGGGGCCGGATGTTTCTTCACTGAGTCTCTGGTTGGTGCCAGGAGTTAACAGGCTTGGCTACTCACTGAGAGGTTGTAAGTTAAAATAAAAAAGGGGGGGTTTGTTTGTTTGTTTAATTCTTTAGTGTGGGGACAGCTGTCTTGTGTATCACCGGCTATTTGATAGCATCCCTGGGCTCTGATTGCTAGATGCCAGTAGCACTAACAGCCCCCAGCCCAGCTGTGACGACCAAAATGTCTCCAGAAAATGGTGGCCGTTGAGTCAGTTCTGACTCATGGTGATTTCACGTGTGTCTGAGCAGAGCTGTTTGTGGCGGGGTTTTAGTGTCTGGTGTTTTGGAAGCAGATCCCCAGGTCTCCTGAGGTGCGTCTGGGTGGACTTGAGGTGCCGGCCTCTCAGTTAGCAGCTGAGCCTGCTAACCACTAACCGTTGGCGTCACCCAGGGACACTGAAATATCTGCAGACATTGCCAGATGTCGTCTGAGGCATAATCGCTCCTGGCTGGAATCACCAGCGTAGACCAGCAAAAGCTCTGGACACTGACCCTCCCTGTCTCCTGTTTTAGCCTGGGTTTTCTAGAGGAAGAAAACCAATGAAGCTTGTATAAATATATGGCAAGATTGACTTTAAGGAAATGGCTCATGAAGTTGTGGGGGCTAGCAAGTCCCAAATCTGTGGGTTAGGCCTACAGGCCTCTGCTGACTCCCAGCGTTGCAGGGCTGACAGAACCCAAATCTAAAGTCAGGCACAGACTGGAGTTCTCTTCTGATCCATGGGGTTGTGGGGTTGGCAAATCTAAAATCTGCAGGTCAGGTGACAGGCTGGAGACTTCTGCAGGCTTTTGTCCTAGAAACTGGAGATCAGGCAACGAGAAGAGTGCAGGGTGGAGAGAGAGAACGGGCTTTGCCAGAACTTCCGTTTATATATTATAGGCAGGCCACACCCCCAAGGAAACTCCCCTTTTAGATGATTGGTGTTCATATCAGATCACAAAATGGAGGATTATTATATCATATCTGTCCAACCACTGGGAATCATGTCCCAGCCAAGTTGACATATAACCTTAATTGTCACACTGTCTTGCAATAACTGTTCTCCAGGTGAGAGTCAGCCAGCTATGGTTGGCTCCATAAGCTTAATTGGCTGGTGAGTCTTAAGTTAGCTTGGCAAGGACTGGCCAGGCTGGCACCCAAAGGTGGGTGTACCCAGGTCTCCTGGGGTGGTGACACTCACACCCCAGTGCAGTTTTCAGCATCTTGCTGCATTTCCAAGCTCGCTATTGGCAGGTCTGGGCAGCACTCCCAGCAGGATGCCCAAGGCAGTCTTTAAGCAAGAAATAGTGAAACATCAAGATTAGAATGAAATGAATTTTGGGAATATTTGTACAATGCTGCACTCTTTATGAAGTCCCCTTTTAATATACTAAATCTCATTTGGGCTCATAAAAGGAAGGCTTATAGTTAACAGTAAGAATCCACTGCACACTTCCCACTCATTCACGTCTCCCTGCTGCAGCCCTGTGAGACAGGTAGGATGATTATTCCTGCTTTCCGATGAAGAAACTGAGGCACAGAGAAGCTAAATCACATGCCCAAGGCCTCTCAGCTAGTAAGTGGGGAGCTGGGGTTCAAACCCAGGCATATCACCTCCAGAGCTGGGGCTCAAAACCACTGAGTGCGCTGGCCTCTTGTGGTCCGGTCAGCAAACCCTCCTCGTGGGACACGCACACTGATTCTCTCCATGTAACGTTTCAGACATTTTCCATCCCATCCTAAACATCCCAGTTCTTCTTAAGAGTGCGTGCAGGACTGAGGCTGTGTGCAACCAGACACTTCCTGGGACCTGTTGAGGCAAGAAGGGTCTCCCTTTGAGTTTGCAGAGGCTGCGTGACCTGCCAACACCCTGAATTCAAACTCCAGAACCAAAGACAATACATTTGGGTTCTTATAAGCCACCCAGTTGGCAGTCTTTTGTCACAGCAGCCCTAGGAAGCTAAGACACTTGATTGGAGGTTCAGGCACATGTTCTCATGGGACATCTCAGTTACTTAGCCCAATACCGTGTTTAGTATTTCTGTTCCACCTCCTAGTTTGTAGAGTAGTAGATTAGTCTCTATTCACCTGGAGCAACAGAGGAAGCAGGAGAGTCAGGAATAAGAGGAAGTGATGGAATGTGAGGCTAATTGCCTCCATGGACTACTGCCTCCTTTATCCTGAGACCAGAAGAATGGCATTGTGCTTGGCTACCATTACTGAACATTTCGATCAAAGACTCTATAGAGGAATCCTGATCAAAAGGGGGGAAATACAGAACAGAATTAAAAATTCCATGGAATCCAGAATTTCTGGAGCCATCAAGGCTGGATGAACCCCAAAACTGTTGCCCTGGGATCATCTTTAAACCTTAAACCAAAAATATGCCTTTCAAGTCATCTTAAAACCAACGTTGTTGTTGTTATGTGCCATCGAGTCGGACCCGACTCCTAGCGACCCCTACTTGGGTTTCTGAGGCAGTGTCACTATGGAAGTTGATTGACCAAACTTCCTTCTGAACCAAACAATAGTTTAGCTTAAAAGAAAAATAAAAATCTGCCTTGAGGATGGTGCTTTTCTCAAGAACTATCCATATGGGGTCAAACTGACAGCAGCAACTGGGAAGGAAGCTGAGGGGCAATGGGCTGATGTTAGTGGGGGAGGAGCAATTTGGAAAAAGGAGGGTGAGAATGGCTGCACAACTCGAAGAACGTTATCAACGTCAATGAACTGTCCATGCAGGAACTATTGAATTGATGTGTGTTTTGCTGTGTGTTCCCAACAACAACAAATAACATATATTATTAAAATGTAATGTCTGCAGGGAACGTCATGGTGGTTGAAGCTTTGCCCACACTTCCGATTCATAACAGGGAACATTTTTTAGGCCATTTGATGCCATCCGCTCTCATGAATTCCCCCAGAATTGTGTGGGGGAGCTGCCGAGTGGAGCTGGGGAGAGTGGGCCCTGGCAGAGTGCTCAGTCTGACTCCAGCTCTCCAAGGAAAGCAGTGAAGGCTCCAGTCCACCCCCTGCTGCCAGGGGCCCCCTTGCTGGGTGGTTTGATGCATGGCTGATACAGGGCCGAGTCCTTCCTTTCTGAGAGAATGAATAGGTTTCTGCTTCTCCATCCATCACCCGCCCATTCATGAGGCCACTAGAACCGCCCAGCGCCTCTGCATGCCCCAGCCACCACTAACTGTGACCCTTCTGTCCCTTCCCAGAGGAGAATGAGGAACGCACCATTATCAACCCCACCTCCAAGGAAGACCCCAAGTTCAAGGAGCTGGTCAAGGTAGGGAGACTGGTCTCAGCTGGAATGTGCCACTTAGGGTGCAGCCTTGGCTGTTTGGCATTCAGGGCTTCTGGGTACAAAGCGGGCGGAACCTCTGGGCATGTGAGGGGTCATGTTCTGCATTGAGTTGTGTCACCCAGGATTTAGGTTGAAGTTCTCACCCCTGCAAATATGACTTGGTGTGGTATTAGGGTCTTTGAAGATGTTACCAGTTAACATGAGGTCCTACTGGAGTGGGGGGAGGTCCTGATCCAATATGACCAGTGTCCTTACAGAAGAGGAGAAGGGACACAGAGACAGAGGGAAGATGGTCCTGTGATGATGGAGTGGTGCTGCAGCTGTAAGCCAGGGAACACCTGGGGCCACCCGAAGCCAGAGGGACAAGGAGGCCTATAGTCCTGGACTTTGCAGAGAGAGCACTGTCCTGCCAGCACCCGAGCCCGGACTCCTAGCCTCCAGAACGTGAGACAGGACTTTCCTGTTCTTACACGGCAACCTGAAGGAAAGTGCTTTGGTCATGTTGCCAGGAGAGCCCAGTCCCTGGAGAGTGACATGACGCTTTAAAGTAGAGAACTGGAGAAAAAGGGGAGGGCCCTCGAGGGGATGGACAGACACAGTGGCTGCAACGATGGGCTCAAGCAGAGTAGCAAGTTCGTCGATGGTGCGGTACTGGGCGGCGGTTTGTTCTGTTGTACGTGGGGTCACTGTGAGTTGGACCCATTCAACGGCATCTAATAACAACAGGAAGTGAAGACAGGACACTGATGCGGGGTTAGAAAATGTGAACATTGTTTGCCTTACAGCGGGGGGTGAATGGAACCGGATGGAAGATCTGGTTCATAGCACTGGACACCAACCACGTGCCTGGCTCCACCCCGGGCCTTGAAAACCCTCCTCTTGAACTTTGCATTGGATGCACTTCACAGATGGGGTTCAGACTCATTCTGGAGCACAGTGGGGGTTCGGGTTTAGAGGGAGCTCTGAAAAGCAGGCGTATGTGACCGTCTTGGCCACCCCGTCCAGGAAGCATCAGGCGTCATCTGCACTGGAGGACAGTTGGTTTCTCCAGCCACCGAAGGTGTGACTATCAGCCACGTAAGAGATACGGCCACATTGTCCCCAGAGTGAAGAAGGCAGACTCTCCCCAGAAGTCTTCTTTGAACCAAAACACGGTTTATCTCATAAGTAAGGTATGTCTGCCCCGAGTGTGTGCTCCTTTAAAGGATTATCTGTGTGACAACGGCAACTCGAAAGGTTAGATGAGGGGCTTAGGGGGCAGCGAGTTTACATCAATGGCGGTGGAACAATGTGCAGAAAGATGATGAAAGTGTTTGCGTGATTTGAAGAATGTAACCCGTGTCCCTGAGCTGTGCGTGTAGAAATGGTTGAAATCATATATGACTGTATCTTTTCACCAGAAAAAGAGGCTGGGCTGATGGCCATGGCTCCTTTGGCCTCACGGCCACTGCTGTTCCCACTCCCAGTGAGGTTTCCAAGCTCTGGTATGCTGGGAGGCCCTCTCTGTACTGCTTGTTCATGTCCAAGAAGGGATTGTGGTCTGACTGCTCTGTTCTCAACCACAATAGGGCTTCAAAAGCTAATCGCCTAATGTGGGAAGGAGCTGGGCTCTGACTGTGCTGTCCTCTAAGCTTAAAGCCTACCCCATTAGCCCCAGAGCGAGCTCAGAGCAGGCAGCAGAAATACTTCCTTTCCAGAGTCACTGCCCACTCAGGTGACACAGGGCAGGGGCACCTTGGAAGTGTTGTTGATGACAGTGTGGCCAGAAACCAGTGTTTTCCATCCACAGTGGTTTTCTAAGTGTTCCTTACCCCTGACCACCACCTGTGGGCCCGAGGCTGGAGCCCTGACCACCACCCATGGGCCCTGACGCTGGGTGCTAGGCTGCATTTTCACAAAAGCTAATTCGGGAGCAATGAAACCCATCTGCAAGTTATATCCTTTTTAAAACTTCAATTGAAAATGTCAGCTTTATAAGGCCCACCCCAAAATGTTGATTCTTAACGCTTTAAGTTACCTAAAAAACAAAACAAAACAAAAAACCAGTTGCCAACGAGTAGATCCTGACTAAGGGCAAACCCATGTGCATCTGTAAAGATCCGGTGGCCGGAGACCATCTGAGTTGCTCTGACGTCACAGGGGAGAGAATCCCCAGCAGCGTCGACAGCCTGAGGCTGATCCCTATGAGGCGGAGGTCAGACACACTGCCACCCTCCAGTCTTTTGACCAGTTCTCACACCAGCCATCCCTCCCAGGGCACTCTCTGCTTCTCTGCCAGGTTCGATAATCCATTGCAATGACCACACAGAACTCAGACCATACTCACAATTTTGGGAGTTATTAGGGAAGTAACAGGTTACAACTCGGGATCAGAGGCTGCCTCAGGATATAGTTCTTTGGTCTGGACAGCTTCTTCTCAGCTGTATCTGCAGGCCTGCCTCTCTCTGGTCCTCACACCAACCCCCACCAGGGGCCTCTTGGGCTGGCCTGGCCTCCACCCTACTCTGGCAAGTGTTACAGAGCTCTTTTAGCTCTGCCAATAAGTGCCCGGAGGCACCCCACTCCACCGGTAAGCCTTGGTCTGAAGGCACTCAACTC